TTTGTAACTCCGGGGACCAGGACACAAAGGAGCCGTTGGTTCAAATTGCAGGAAGCGAGAGCCCACTAGCACGTAAGGAAGGGCTTTGTGTTGCTCAGAGCGCTGTCCTCCCTCGCAGGGCTGGCGGAGTCCTGCGGGCCGAAGGCGGACTGGGCGTTCATGTCCTGCGCTCCGGAGAACGAGTGCTTGAACGGCCACCACGACTGCAACGAGACGCAGAACTGCAGCGACCTGCCGCAAGGCTATCAGTGCACCTGCAAGAACGGATACACGCTGGACAAGTGAGTGCGGAGAGGCGCCAAAGCCAAATGTGGGCATGGATAGGAACCTCAGATGGAATGGAATTTTGGTTTGAAATCTAGCAATACATTTAAGTTGGACTATAATGATTATATGTACCCAGGTTAGTCCAGATCCAGCAAAGTCACAGAGGAGCCTTTGTGGTACAAACCAACAAATGCGCATTCCCTTGTATTTCTTTTTTGGGGCTGTAGCACCAAATAGAATTGAATATTGGTTTGAAACCCAGCCATGATGTTAAGTTGGACTATAATGATTATATGTACCCAGGTTGGTCCAGATCCAGCAAAGCCACAGTGGAGCCTTTGTGGTACAAACCAACAAATGCGCATTCCCTTATATTTCTTTTTGGGGGCTGTAGCACCAGATAGAATTGAATATTTGTTTGAAACCCAGACATGATTTTAAGTTGGACTATAATGAATACATGTACCCAGGTTGGTCCAGATCCAGCAAAGCCACAGAGGAGTCTTTGTGGTACAAACCAACAAATGCGCATTCCCATATATTTATTTTTAGGGTCTTAATCCCAAATGGGATGAAATTATTGCTTGAAACCCAGCCATGATTTTAAGTTGGACTATTGTGAATATATGTACCCAGGTTGGTCCAGATCCATCAAAGCCATGGAGGACACTTTGTGGTACAAACCAACAAACGCACATTCCCATTTATTCGTTTTTGGGGCCGTAGCAGCAAATGGAACGGACTTTTTGATTGAAACCCAGAAATATTTTTAAGTTGGATTATAGTGAATACATGTATACAGATTGGTCCAAATCCATCAAAGCTACAGAGGAGCTTTTGTGGTACAAACCAACAAATGTACATTCCCACTTTTTTGAGATGGAAGTTTTGTTGGAAATCCATTGGTGGGCCTGACCGCGTCCTCTTCCTGGTCTATTTCAGCGTGACGGGGCTGTGCAGGCCGGTGTGTGAGCAGGGCTGCGTGAACGGGACGTGCGCGGAGCCCAACGCCTGCCACTGCCACTTTGGCTACGTGGGGCGCAACTGCTCCGTGGAGTGCCACTGCAACAAGCACAGCAACTGCCTGGGAGTGGAGGCCCAGGACCAGTGCCTCCAGTGCTACAACAACACCATGGTGAGGGGGCCGGGGTATTTTCACGCGTTTCCATACACTTGGGGAAATTTCCACGTTCTTGTATGGAGTGTTGCAATGTCATTCTCTCTCTCCCCCTATACGACAATTGATCGACAATACAACACACACAGATTGCACAGATTGCTACACTGCATACAAGAACATGGAAATGTAAGTATTACATGGGTAAACTGCAGGACAAATACACTGCAGAAACAGTAAATGAGGTAGATTAGTGGCGTTCGTATGAGGTGGGCCGGAGTATTTTTCAACAGAGTAAAGATGTTTTCCGATGACATTTGTTTGTAGCATTACCAGTTCTTATATGGCAGTGTTGGCCAAAATATCAGGTCATTTTCATCTATTATAGCGGTTTAGAGCGAGAGGGACAGATATGCAGGAAGCAACATACATGAACAACAACGACCGTGATTATATACATCACTGAGCAAATGCACAACTAGTATGACATTGCAGAGCAAAATCAAGGGGTGTGTGTATGTGTGTGTATACACAGAGGGAGATATTGCAACACAACATAGAACACAGAAATTACATACAATGCAATGCACAATACAATTGCAGAGCAAAATCGAGGTGTATGTGTGTGTGTGTGTGTATATATATATATGGAGAGAGATAGAGAGGCATTGCAACACAATATAGAACACAGAAAGTATATACAATGCAATGCACAATACAATTGCAGAGCAAAATCGAGGTGTGTGTGTGTGTATACACACACACACACACATATATATATATGGAGAGAGATAGAGAGAGGCATTGCAACACAACACAGAACACAGAAATTACATACAATGCAATACACAGTACAATTGCAGAGCAAAATCGAGGTGTGTGTGTGTATGTGTGTGTATACATACATACATATATATATATATGGAGAGAGATAGAGGCATTGCAACACAATATAGAACACAGAAAGTATATACAATGCAATGCACAATACAATTGCAGAGCAAAATCGAGGTGTGTGTATACACACACACACACACACATATATATATGGAGAGAGATAGAGAGAGGCATTGCAACACAACATAGAACACAGAAATTACATACAATGCAATGCACAGTACAATTGCAGAGCAAATTCGAGGTGTGTGTGTGTATGTGTGTGTGTGTGTGTGTGTGTGTATATATATATATATATATATGGAGAGAGATAGAGAGAGGCATTGCAACACAACACAGAACACAGAAATTACATACAATGCAACACACAGTACAATAGCAGAGCAAAATCGATGTGTATGTGTGTGTGTGTGTGTGTGTATACACACACACACACACATATATATATATGGAGAGAGATAGAGAGAGGCATTGCAACACAACACAGAACACAGAAATTACATACAATGCAATACACAGTACAATTGCAGAGCAAAATTGTGTGTGTGTGTGTGTGTGTGTGTCTGTGTGTATATATATATATATGGAGAGAGATAGAGAGAGGCATTGCAACACAACATTGCATTCAGAGGGCCAACTTGGGCCTTCCCTCCAGGTGTTTTGGACTTCAACTCCCACAATTCCTAACAGCCGGTAGGCTGTTAGGAATTGTGGGAGTTGAAGTCCAAAACACCTGGAGGGAGGGCCCAAGTTGTCCCATGCCTGCACATGGGTAAGCCTCATCCAGGGCAATGTTCCCCACGTGCAGTGACCCTTCCCTCTTCCTCTTCCTCTCCTTCCAGGGCCAGCACTGCGAGAAATGCCAGCCGCTCTTTGTGGGCTCGGCACTGAGCGGAGGCACCTGCCGTCCCTGCCACGCCTTTTGCCGCGGAAACAGCAACCTGTGCATCACCCGCGAGGAGTACGAGCGCGCTAGGCGCGACCCAGTCCGCTTCCCGCTGGACCCCGCCTTGGTACGTGCATCGTTGCATCTTCCATCAAAAGATATCTTTCTGTGCAACCTGTTGTGTGGTCAATGTGTTCTAGCAGCATTTGCTCCTGACATTTCGCCTGCATCTGTAGCTACCGGCATCTGCAGAGGATCTGATAGTAGTAAAGCAAGTGGAGTGCATTCTATCCCTGCGGAATAATGTCCCGGGTGGGAGGAAACAACCCTTGTGTGGGTGTTGCAATTAGCAACCTTGATTTGCAAGTCCCAATCCACCCATTATTAGCATGTGAGTAACCGTGAAGGTAGCACAGTCAATTAGGGAGGGCATCTGCATAGAAGTAGCCCGGACTTCATTCCTTTTGGATTGTTGACCGCCTCAAAGTTGCATTGCAATGCTTTGAATTGTGAGTGGCATCTGGAGAGAAGAAGGCACCTGTGCACAACACAGTCCACTGAAGGGCTAAGAAGAGGAGAGATGTGATCCAAGAGAGACAACCGAGTTACCGTATATACTCGAGTATAAGCCAACCCGAATATAAGACGAGCCACCTAATTTTACCACAAAAAAACTGGGAAAACATATTGACTCGAATCTAAACTGAGTCCAGAACAGGAAAAAAAAAAAAACGAGTGATCGTCAATTAAGTTCACTTTTCATTATATTTAGGGGCGAGCACACATCACGCCGCTTTGACACCCTCCATGACGTTCAAATACCACACATCCGCGTGACTTTGGTATAGATCCTGGAGTATCCTTTTTTTGATTGAAGACTATCGTGTCCCATTCCGCCAGTGGTTTGGGAGTAAACTATGATCTCAGGTAAGTTTACAAATGCGTAGCTCTCAATGTGTCCTAAGTTCTATTTCGGCACAATTTCACACTTCCGCTCCAACGACTCCATTTGGTTGGTCAGATTAGGCATATGGAGATATCTGTGCCAGGTTGTCAGGATATCCATCATGGGTGGATTTGAGAATTCACAAGTGCTCGCTCATCTTTCCGTGGACTGTGAGTAGTACTAGCAAAGGTCATGTAACTCCTGGATGCAGAAGTTTCAAGGTCAAATGCCCTGGTAGCAAACCCTTTTCAGTGTGTCAATGCAAACTGACTACACTGTTGAAGTCCTGTATGCGATGACTTGTGTCTTCCTCGATCAATTCATGCATGTGTGAGGTCACGCATAGGCTTGCTTTTGATCTGTAGGTTGAAACTATAAATCCGTGCCAGTAAGATCACAAAACACACAATCCATAAATGTCAAGGTGCTCATTGCCCTATAAAACGTGTCTATCTGTGTTCATATGTTGGGGCACTAATGATGTGTTTAGTGTTAGG